GTATTCTTTAGCAGTACACTTTTTCCCCCTTTCTAGTGAAGCCTTCCTTCCAGTCCACGCCCAGAGCGTGGACAGTGCAAATACTCCCAGAGATGCAGGTCTGCTGGCCAGTGCCTCGTTTATGCTAGAGTCCCTTCAGCACAAGAAAGCCACAGGTATCTGGACAGAAAAGGGGATCCCCTCAGATCTACACCCAAACTCCATTCAGTTGAGCTCCACGAGCTGTTCAGGCAAGCTCCGAGGAAGGCTTTCTTCCTCAGCGCTGCACCGGGAGGTCTGTAAGCTGGCCCGTCAGGGTTAACAAAGGGGCAGAGTGCTAGGAGTCCGCTCCTCTGGCAGAAGGGTATATTGGCAGCTGGATGATCTGGGTCTTTCTAAATAAAGCAGAAAGAGGATGGGAGGAAGAGGGTGCAGGAAAGTCAAATGGGTCCTACGTAGTGCGTGAGACAAAGTATGTCATATATTATGGGGTGACATAATGCATACGGGAACAGAAACTAAAATGAAGTTCAGGTATGCCACCTCCCTCTTTTCAAAGGTAGGAAAGATCTGAAGTCTTTGGCCCGAATGGGACAAACAGTCATGCCAAAAGACCTTAGCCCCAAAGTGCAAAATAAAGGGAACTGTGGGCATTCCTTGCCACAGTTTATTCAAGGGCCTAAGCGTGGATTTATATGTCCTCTGTGTTCATCGCAGGAGAAAGGCAGAAGATTGGAAGACCTGAACAACTGCAGGTAAAGACAAAAAAAATCTTAATAAGCAACAACTGATATCTACTTGCAGCACTTGGCTCTGGCCACAGGTTTCAGGCTGTGGTGTAATTCACGTGGCTCTCAGGAAAAAAGCTAACATTGGCTGCTCTGCATCATTTACGGCATATTTACTTTGCTGGGCTGCCTCTGTGGAGAAGCGCTCCTTCCCTGTATCCGCTTTTCCCCTGCGAGCCCACTGTTTCATTCAAACTGAAGAGGTACTGAGGCACGGGCCCTGAGCAGGGCCCTGTTGTGCTAGGTGCCGCACGGACACACGAGCTGGGCTTCTGTCCTTCAAACTTTGCAATTTGCCTTTCCTAAGAACCGCCAACGTAGGCTTCTCCAGAAAATAACTCAGGACATAATGAGGTAGGTGTGAAACCCCTTCCTTCTCTTTCAAGGGCAGAAGAAGAAAGAGTAGACAGGGAACTAGCAGGATTACAGAGCTCTTAGCAAGGGCCTCATTAGGTTTGTAACTGGTTATTTAAGTCGATTGGGCAAGAAAAGATTGGCATAGTGGAGAGACAGACAGTAACTGTAGAAGAGGGTGGAGCAAAAAGCCCATCTATGGAGTAGAGCCTGTAAGGTCTAACAGGACAGCTGGGGAGCACTGTCCAGCAGACTCTGGTGCGGTCGCTATCTGCACTGTAGAAGTGTTCCCCAGCTCTTCCTCTTCCGGGCCTCAGGGCCTTTGGAAAAGGCAGAGGGAAGAAGCAGGGCTGGGGTGGTGCTCCCAGAACCAACCTGAACTGCATCTTTTCCAATGGTGTCCTCCTGCCACACAGTCCTGCTGCTAGTTACAGCTACGTTATGGTAGCTTTTTGCTGCTAAGGATATTTCTCAAGTACCCCATTACTTAATAAGCAGAAGTGGGTTTCTCTTTTTGGGGGGCAGGGACCCCAACAAAGCAAAACCAGCCCATAACAATAGGCTGCCCTACATACCAACTCCAGAAAAGACCGTGTTTTCGTTCAAGTAGGTTTCTTGACCGACGGGTTGCAAACAGCACCTTCTGCCTGTGAACTACCTGCAATGCAGTGCTGTCTTCCACCGCCCGCGCAGGCAGGCAGCTCCAGTACCTCTCTTGTTGCCTCAGCGCTCCCTCCTGAACCTCACAAAGATAAAATGAGCAGGTCACAAGAACTTCAGGGGCTGACAGTTGCAACATAATTTGCACTAGTAAGCCAGCTTCACTGTATGTTATTTTTCTTGAGGATGGTCATGGAAGGAATGAAGGTTGTAGCTATTCTCAGCCTTCTCCCAAGAAGAGTGGACAGCTGAGCTTACTGGTGGTGTATTACAGGAATTCCGTTAAAGAACCTGCCAGAGGGGCTTGAAATCTCTTGTATCTAAACAGAGCTTGTTCCACTTACTCCAGAAGAAGATACATCTTGTTCCTGTTTCATTTAATCCAGAGTGGATTAAATTAAACAGAATCACAGCAGTCTTATTTCAGAATGAAATGCACATGTTAAACTGTTATCAGACAGCTCCACGCACACACCGGTATTTAAAAGACTTTGAGTCAGGTCCTTCATAAGCTCTCTAGGCCAAGGATATTTGTTTACTTTTGCTTTTCCCCACCCTCTGTTGCCCTAGTAAGCTCCTAAGTACTAGTGTGGTACAAATAATAATTTAAAACAAGATCTTAGGCTGCTGCATTAAGTAGATTGCTCACTGAAATTATCCTGTACATCTGCAGAAAGCCTGAATAATAGCTAACAGACGTATGAACTTCTCAGCCTATGCTTATTTCATTGTGCTATTAACTTTACAGCCTAATTATATCTAACACACCTGCCTAACCAAACTCATTAATTAATTAGCAGCAGACTGGGATACTCCTGGGATGGTTAGGGATT